GCACAGCTCGTCCGGCTCGACCTCGGGCGCCTCCTCGAGCTCCGCCTCCGCCGCGAGCACGGCCGACGGCCGCCTGCCCGTCCGGCCGGGCGGCAGGGTGCGCTTCCGGGTTGGCGACCTCGTCTTTGTCGACTGGCACCGGCGCGGCACCGGTGCCCCGGCGCCAAGGCACAACCTCCCGTGGCAGGTTGCCGCCGCCGAGTGCGTGCGGATGCCGGCCGACCGGACGGAGCGCCGCACCGAGAGGAGCCCTCTCGATGTGACGCTCACGCCGTGGGGCGCCGCGCGGCGCGAGGAGGACTCCATCGTCGTGCCGCGCGGCTGCCTCGTCAAATTCGAAGGGGGCTTCGCGACGGCGTGGCACGCGGCACGCCCGGAGCAGCGCGAGCTGCTGATGCGGGCGCTCGAGTACGTGGTTCAGCTCAAGAGGCATCACTGGCCGAGCTGCCCGGGGGTGGAGAAGATCTGGGCCAGCATGATGGGCGACGAGCCCCTGCCCCCGCCCGCGCCCGGCACGGAGCCGCCGACCTAGCGCACGGGGCGCGCGAGAGGGGGGGGGTTCCGCGCTCTCGGCGCTCGGCTAGCGCGCCACACACACCCCTCTGGGTCCCCACAGAGGCACACATCTCCGGCACGACCCGCAAGTCGCAACGAAGTGACGTGTGTGTGTGTGACAAGCTCCGCTCAACGAGCGGGAGGGGGCGTGACACGGCGCGCGATGTCTTCGCGCGGGTGTGAGAGTGCGCTCTGGGCAAGGCGATTCGGATCACACCCGAGGGCTCTACAAAGGAAAGAATCGAGTAGAAGCGCCACCTTCACATGTGGGAAATCGCGAACCACGGCGGTTGTCTCGGCTCTCTCTCGAGACCCCGCCCTCTCTCGCTTTTCTCTCTCCGGTAAAGAGCATATACCAACCAACGAAAGAGTCGCGCTGGCCATCAAAGACAGGGGTGGTTTCCTGCGGGTCGGCAGCAACTGCGATGCTATTGGTCAGGATTGGTGGAACTGAAGAGGCTCTCGTTGCGTGTCGCCGCAACCCTCACGCTATGGCAGCCGCCACGCGCCGTGACGCAGAAGGATCTGCTGTTGTGGTAGTTGGCGAGCGTGCCTAGCTTCGTCACATTCAGTAGCGCTCGCACGCTCTCTGGCGTGCACAGACGCGTCGCCAGCTCGATGAGCATGTGGCGCAGCAGCGAGTCGCCGAGGACTGACTGGTAACAGACACGTGCCGCTTCTCCGGCGAGATGGCCAGCGCCCTGAGCAGTGGAGCGGTACGCCTGCCCGCGGCCGGCGCGAGCCGGGTGCGCACGGCGGAGCAGCACGCTCGCAGCCGCTCGCTTGCAGCGGTGCAGCACAGGCGCAGCCGCTCGCGGCCTCGCCAGCGGAGCGCGCAGAGGGCAGTGCTTCCCGCGAAGGCAAGGAGCACGATCGCGGTGGTTGCGAGGTGCACGGGCTCGAGTCCTGGCGGAAAGCATGGCGGGTCCAGCGGCGGCGGTGGAGGAGGCGGAGGAGGCGGCGGCGGCGGCGGCGGGGCGGGATCGGGAGGGGGCGGCTCGATGGTCCACCAGGGAGGGAGCGGCGAGGGCGGCGGCGGCGGTGGGGGCGAGGGCGGCGGCGGTGGGGGCAAGAGAGGAGGGAGCGGAGGGAGTGACGGAGGCGGCGGGAGTGGTGGCGGTGGTGGCGGAGGCGGCGGAGGCGGTGAGGTCGGGGGCAGCGACGGAGGCGGCAGCGGCGGCGACGGCGGCGGCGGTAGAGGCGGGGTCGGCGGTGGCATTTGCGGCGGGGGTAAGGGCGGTGGAGGAGGCCATGGAGGAGCGGGCGGTGGTGGAGCGGGTGATGGGAGGAGTGATGAGGCAAGCCACTGGAGAGGCGGAGGAGGAGGCGGCGGCGGTACTAGCGTCGGTGACGGAGAAGGCGGCGGTGACGTCCCAGCGACTGGCGATCGCCACCATGGCGGCGGCGGCGGTGCCATTAAAGGCCTGATGCACGCGCCGTCAAAAAAATTATTATTCTTCCTTGCCTTGAAATATCGGAGTGGAGTCAGGTTGCTCGAGGGGAGCTCGATAAGGGCGACTTCACACCAGGATGGTGCAAGATAGGTCGCAACTGATCCAGTCCTCCCGGGCGGGAATGTGGTCGCATATGGTCCCAGAAACACCCCCAGAGAGCTTAAAAATCGAGATTTCGGCCGCAGAATTTTTTCTTGATTTTTGGGGTATCCGAACGCTTGGCAGGGCCGTCGACTCGGTCGTCGTCCATCTGCGTCCGGCACTAGCCCCGCCAAGTATGAGGCGTCTACGTAGACTCACATGCCATCGGCCCTCGCGCTCTGCTCGCCTCGGAGCACCCGCGAGACTCTCAGTGAGGCACACTGTGAGCTCCCGTGCCGTTTCAGCCTGTTGGCTCGGTTTTGACACCGATTCCACCACCGCATGAACCACTGCCTCGTCAATCACCGTATCACTCCTCGCTGTAGGCCCGGTGCTGCAGGTTGAGCACTGGCCGCGGTCAGGTCGTGTGCCTTGCGGCTAGTGCTCAACCTCCGCCCGGAGGGCATACCTGCGAGTGCAGTGCGGCAAGCCGCGGGCGAGTCACTCCTTCGTGCGAATCGTCGCGTCTGGCAGCTGCTGCAGGTCCTCTCTCTGTAGGTTGCAGTACTCCCTCCATCTCGCGATGCGTGGCGCAAATGCGCGCTGACCTTGCCGTGTCGGCCACTTCCTGCACGCCTCAGCGTCTGCTACTTCGTACTTGCAGGTGAAAGAGCCAGCTGTGGCGGGCTCGCTCAGGTGTCACGCGTGCCCTCCTCTTCTCGTGGCCGTTTTCTCCCTTGTCGACACACGCGCGGATCGAGTAAACAGCGAGCGTACACTCCACCGCGCGGCTTGCCGCGAGGAGGGCGGAGTTACGCAGAGCGGCGAGAGAAGCAGCGAGAGCAAGGCAGACGGCAGCGGCGTCTCAGAACGAGGCCGAGGAGAGCGATGAGTCAGAGGATGAAACAGCAGGGGAGAGAACGAGGACGAGAGTGAGAAGAACGAGAGGTGGCATGAAGGTCGCTGCGAGAATTGGTGAGAAACTGCGAAGAGAGATAGGAAGTGGTAGACGCCCGAGGGTGGGCGACGGCTAGCACCACACTCCTCTCCTTAAAATCCCTGTGTGGTGGCGGCGTGCCGTCCTCCCATCCCTCCCTTGGGTTGTCTGTTTTCTTTCTTTCTTTTTAGCCAAAATGGTGATCCCTTGGGAACTCTGTTTTCTTTCTTTCTTTCCAAAATGGTGATGTCCGGGATCATCAGCATATGTCCCCTCCACAACATCGTGGGCGTTTGAGCGGTATTTGAGGAGCACCGCGACTCTGAAGTTCGGCCGGGTGGTCTGCAGACCCCCACTGTGACCGTGTCGTGGGTGTGACAGTGCGCGACACAATCGTCGGCGCCGCGCTATCGCGGCGCCCCGCAGTCTACACACCGCAGGCGCACCCCTGAACGCGCCATGAGCGCGCAGGCACATAGCAGCGCCGCGCCAAAAGGCCATTCCCTCGCCCGACCCGCGGCTCCACTGCGGCTGCAGCGGTCCGATCACCTGCAGAGGGCAAAAAGGTGTAGCTTAACAGACGACTTGTGATGATCGGTGCTGGCGGAGGCCTCATCGCCGCGAATGCTGCCAGTCGCGGGACACGCCACACCCCCTCTCCCGCGCCTGAGAGAGATTTTTGAAAACCAACCAGTCCAGGTGAACCATCCGTATTGACGGTTGTCACAGATTAGTCAGATTTGCCGTGACCGCGTTCCGAGGTCACGATTTCCGCGTTCTCGTGTTGACCACTGTGCTCTGTGTGTGTGTGTGTGTGTGTGTGTGTGTGTGTGTGTGTGTGTGTGTGTGTGTGTGTGTGTGTGTGTGTGTGTGTGTGTGTGTGTGTGTGTGTGTGTGTGCACACTTGAGCACTTGAGCACTGGATAAGGGCGATTCCGCATGGTACGGGACCCCTCGATCGTCTCGCCCTCCCTCACTGGTGTGTTTATTGGGGGGGGGGGTCATAACAAACACGGTACAGGATCGAGGTGCACGCTGGACGCTGCCAGAGCAGTGTCGTCCCCCCTCTCCCCGACGGCGATGGCGGTGTGACCGATCGAGCTACAAGAGGAGCTTGTTTTTGTGTCAGCAGGATGACGAGGTTTGCCACGAAAAAAACCCTGACTGGAAAAGGGGGCTAACTGGGCGGCCAAATTCACACCTCGCGGGACTACTTATGTTTTCGTAAACGTAGTCGTGGGTAACCCCCGCTACGTCGCACGAGTGCAACCGGGTAGGGGGGGGCTAAAATCTCTCTCTCTCTAAGATCTCCCCTCGATCGTGCTACGGAATACTTTTGTTGGATAGGGGTGGGATTCTCCTTCGCCCTTCGGGCTCGGGCTGTGGCGTTTACCTGACATCCACACAAGGAAGCGCCATACTCACCGCACAACTGTGAACGGTGACTCGAAGATCTTTCCGCTGAAATTCTTTCGCTCTCTCTGCGTGAACGCTCTACGCGGAGAGAGCGAGTCGTAAGGCAAAGCCAGCACTTTCCTCGTCCGCTCGCGCTTGCCGCGCCGCATTGCGCCCGACTATGCAGCCGCGAGCTGCACACCTAGACCCCCGCGACGCCTATTGCTCACGGAACCCGCCGCCCCCTCACCACCCCTACCATGCGATGCGCCCTCGCTCGCCGCGCGAGCGGCTGACCCCCCTCGGCCTCGCACCGCCTGCCTACTCCCGCTCGCAGGTACAGCCGCTGCCATGGAGGAGGCCGCGAGACGCGTCCGCTGCTGCCCATTCCACACCCTTGTCCCGCGCGAACCCGTCCGACCGCCCTCCCTCTCTTACGCGGGTACTCGCACCGCCTCGCATCTCTGCTACATCTAGAGAGTGCCAAGACTCTGTGTCCGCAGCCGCGAGGGCCACTCGAGCGCTGGCCTGCACCTACCATCGGGGACACCACCTTCAACCGCTTCTTGACTCTCTGCAGGAATTCATTCGATCAACATGCTCAAACTCGAGCTGGTGCCGGCCGCCGGTGACAAGCTCGTGCTCAAGCTCTCTCCTCCGCCGCCGCTTGCTGACAAGCAGGTGTGCGTTAATTTGCAGTGGCTGAGGGAGGGGGTATGCACACGCGCACCGCTGCAACCCACGCAACGCTGCGCCTTCCCTGCAAGACGACCCTCTCGCGTTCTGTGGCTGACAGGCGTCTCTGGCGGACAACACGGCCGTCGTCGACTCTGACGGAGGTAACGCCGTCGGCATCCCCTCCGAGCCCGTCTCGCTCGAGGATGGCATCGACACCGGCACCGGCGGCACCTGCACCGCCAACACCGGCACTGGCAACGTCCCGTCCGAGGGCGAGCCCGCCGGCTCGCTCGCCGGCGTCCACTTTGCGGGCGTTTCGCTCGACGCCGTGCCCGAGGCGTTCACCGTCGACGATCCGGCCGGCGCCAAGGCCGTCGGCATCCCGCCCGAGAGCGAGCCCAGCCCGCTCAAGGACGGCATTGACGCGGGCGGCGGCAACGTCGCGGGCGAGTCTTCGCCGATGAAGTCCTTCGCGAAGGTCGGAGTCATCTCCGAGTCGGTGTCGCCTTCGCTCCTCGGAGCGAAGGTGCGCGTGCGCTCGCCAGGATCGTTATCATCCCTCTCCCGTCTCTGAAAGCCTGTGCGTACTTTCCCTCGCCCACAGGCGTGCGGCGTCAAGAACGTCAAGGACATCCCCGTGGCAAAGTCTGGCACGGAGGACGTCCTCAAGAAGGACCCGGCCGCGGAAAAGGCGCCCGACGCGGGCGCGGTCGACTCGGACAAGGCCAAGGCCATGTTCGCCGCCCACGAGCAGGGGCCGCCCGCCGTTTTCTGGTCCAAGTTTACGCGCCCGACCGGCCCACCGACGGCCCCCACCGGCGCCGTCAAGGGCGCCCTCAAGAAGGACATCCCTGCGGCAACGTCTGGCGCGGAGGCCTGCGTTGACGAGACCGGCGCCATCAAGAACCCGGCGCTCAAGCCGGCCACCGAGGTCGCCACGGCCCTCAAGCCGGCGGAGGCCGGCGGCGCGCCGCTGCCGTCGCTCAAGGAATTTCCGGAGGAGAAGAAGCCCGCCGCCACGGCGGCGAGCGCCTGGTGCGCGCCGGCTGCCGACCCACTCTGTGACCCCATCCCGCGTTCGACGCGTAGGGCGACGCCGACTGGAAGGAGTTTCCAGAGGAGACGGCCGCCCCGGCGGTGAGCACCTCCCAGCAGACGCACACGCGGGTATTGCGGGGACACGCGAGTCCTACAGGCGGGCACTTACATTGATCCTGTGACCTCTCGTCTGCCGCACGGCACGCGCGCGCAGGTCATCGACGGGTGGAAGACCCCCTCCCCGCTCCGCAAGATCGAGCGCAAGGAGTCTCCGCTAGCGGAGAAGCTCGCCCCGGCGGTGAGCGCCTCGCACGCTGCGGTTGTACGCGCAGAGCCTCAACTATTGACGCACCCACCGCTTGCGCGTGCGCAGGGCATCCCCGACAGGGCCACGCGCCGCAAGAAGGGGCGCAAGGGCGCGTCCGCCCCGATCGTCCGCACCAAGAGCATCGCCCCAGTCGGCGGCAACAACAGGTTCGGGGCCCTGCTCAAAATGGACGGCAACGAGGGCATCCTCGGTGGCACCGGCAAGGTGACCGGCGGCTCCACGCCGCCGACCGCAGACTCGGTGCGCGCCGCCTGCATTTATGCGGCCTCCTCCCTCGCTCGCCGCTCTCACACGGCCAGTCTCGCGCCCTCTTGTTCAGGGTGCGACGGTCGACGTCGAGACGACCACGAATACCACGCCCGAGGGCTCTGCCGCCGGCCGGTTCCCGTGGTCAAAGTCCTACAACTTGCTCCGCCTCTTTGGCATGCTCGCGCTGATCTGCCTCGGAGCCGCGTTTGCGCACTCCTCGTGCTCTGCCACCTCCGCGCTTCTCTCCTCGCAGCGGTACGACTCCCCGTGGCCGACATCGCCTCCCGCAACCGTCGCGAAGCCGTTCACGCCGGCATCGCCCAACGGCTTCTGCGAGGTTGGCGGCAACGACACCAGCTCGTTTGCAGCCATCGTGTCATCGGACAGCGCGCCCGCCAACCACCCGGTGCGCGCTCGCTCGCGCGTGCTAGTATCCGCAAGCTCGCGACTAACAGCCCGCGCGCTGATCAGGGCGAACGCGACGAGGGGCGCTCGTGGGAAGCACTGATGGAAGCGATCAAAGAGGCGGTGGGCGAGCCGTTGCACCTGATTGGCGAGCCGCCGGCGTCCGTCAAGGACTTTTACGAGAAGCAGCCGGTGAGCGCCCCTCTGGCTGTTTCTATGTGCGAGCTTTGTAATCCGGTTCCGGATTGTGCCTGTTGTTGGCGTGTAGGTTGAGGCCGATTTGGAGACCGCCCCGGCCTCGCGCAACAGCATGGAGCGCAAGGGCGAGCCCGAGATCGACTCTATCGGTCCCGTCTACAGCAGCAGATCGGGGATCATCGTTCGCGAAACCGTCCTGCCCGTGAACGGCACGTTGCCCGAGATGCGGTCCGCCGACGCTGGGAACACGCCCGAGAAGCTGGTTGAGACTGGCCTCGGCGCGCCCGTCTCTAGCATGCACGCCGGCGGCGAGTGGCGGGTGAACAGATTGGCGACCGCTTCTCCAGCCACAACCAAGGATCTCTTCCTCCAGCTTGGCCGGGCCATCGACCCTCTTCTCGCGGAGCCGGCATGGCCTGCAGAGGTCCGTGCCGCTCAGATCTCCGATTCGAACTCGGTCCAGTCCGATATCTCCTCCGTCTCACGTGTGTGCGCCGACCGGCAGCCACGCTGCGCCGCCCCCGTTGCGTGGCATGCGGAGCCTCACCACGCACTCACCGACGAGCGCTGCAAGACCGACAAGCCGCCCGCGAACCCGCCGGTCGACAAGCTCTCCATCGACCTGCCCTCCCCGTTCCACTTTCCCTTCATGAGCGGACCCTCCTCTTCCGCGCCTGTCCGCACCCAGCAGCGCTGTCAGTTTTGGGCCGCCTTGTTCTTGCTGCTCGGAGCGTGCGGCGGCGTGCTGCTCTCGGTGCGGAGGAGCAGCTCGGGGCGCCTCGTGCGGTGCCGGACGGGGGCGAGGCGTGGCGCGTGGCTGCTGATTCTCGCCGCGCTGCTCCCGCTGGCATGTGCACCATCAGCCCACACGTCTGGCTCGGGCGACTTCCAGGTCACTGTGGGTGGCGGCAGCTACCCGTCCGAGGTGTCGTGGACCCTGACGTGCAGCGGCGCGTTGATCGGCAGTGGAGGGGCCCCCTACTCCGGCACCCTGTCCGCGCCGCTCGGCGAGTGCACGCTCAACATGTACGACTCGTGGGGCGACGGCTGGAGCGGCAACTTGTGGGAGGGTGCGGGCTATACGTTCACGCTCTACGCCGGATCCTACGGCAGCGAGACGTTCATCCTCGCCCCCCTCCCTCCGTCCTCTCCGTCGCCGCCGTCGCTGCCGCCGCCGGCGCCGCCCTCTCCGCCGCCGCCGCCTCTGTCGCCTCTGCCGCCGCTCTCCCCCGGCTTTGTCGCCGCGGCGAGCGAGGCCGAGCTCCGCTCCCTGATCGCGGAGGCTGCTGTTTCGCAAGCCGACGTCTCAATCTACCTGCCGCCCAGGGCAGACTTCAAGCTGGACAGCCATATCAGCTGCGCCTCCACCATCAAGGTGACCGTCGCGAGCAGCGGCGAGGGCGCGACGCTCGACGGCCAGGAACAGACCGGGCTCGTTCGCCTCTCGGGCGGCTGCAGCCTCACCCTACGGGGGCTGACCCTCGTCAACGGGAGGGCGGGCAACGGCGGCGTTGTGTACGCGGACGGCGCAGGCGACATCGAGATCATCGACTCGACGATTAGGGACTGCTCGGCTGAGTACGGGGTGCGCCGCGTAGAGCTAGCCGCACTCCAGCAGCGCCGCACGGCAGCGGGGCGAGAGATGGAGAGGGCCGCGGCTTCCTCACCCCGCTCTCTCCTCGCAACCGCAGTACGGCGGCGTCGTCTCCGCGTCTCGCAGCGGTGCGGTCTCGATCATCGACTCAGATGTGTCGGACTGCTCTGCTGGCAATGTGCGCCGCGTAGAGTCAGCCGCCTCCAGCAGCGTCGCACTCCAGCAGCGCCGGCAGCGGGGCGGGAGATGTAGAGGGCCACGGCTGGCCTCACCCCGCTCTCTCCTTGCAACCGCAGGACGGCGGCGTCGTCTACGCGTATGATAACAGCGGTGCGGTCTCGATAATCGACTCGGCCGTGACGGGCTGCTCGGCTGGCTTGGTGCGCCGCGTAGAGCTAGCCGCACCCCTGCAGCGCCGCACGGCAGCGGGGCGGGAGTTAGAGAGGGCCACGGCTGCCTCACCCCGCTCTCTCCTCGCAACCGCAGGACGGCGGCGTCGTCAACGCGGTGAACAGCGGTGCGGTCTCGATAAGCGGCTCGAACGTGTCGGGCTGCTCTGCTGACCGGGTGCGCCGCGTAGAGCTAGCCGGCCTCCAGCAGCCCCTCATGGCAGCGGGGCGAGAGATGTAGAGGGCCACGGCTGCCTCACCCCCGCTCTCTCCTCGCAACCGCAGGAGGGCGGCGTCGTCGACGCGTTGCGCAGCGGTGCGGTCTCGATCATCAACTCGGATGTGTCGGACTGCTCTGCTGACAACGTGCGCCGCGTAGAGCTAGCCGCACTCCAGCAGCGCCGCACGGCAGCGGGGCGGGAGACAGAGAGGGCCACGGCTTGCCTCACCCCGCTCTCCTCGCAACCGCAGGTCGGCGGCGTCGTCTACGCGGAGGACAGCGAGTCCCTCTCCATCGCGGGTGTCGACTTCATCGACAACAGAGCGGCGATCTCAGGCTCGGTGCTGTACCTGGACGAACTCCGCCAACGCTCCTCGATCAGCGACGCCTCCTTCACCGGCAACACCGCTGGCGACGACAACGACGGTGCCACGATACAGGCCATCAACTCGCCGATAGACTTGACCTGCCGCTTGGGCAGCTGGATGCCGCGCAAGGGCACCTTCTTTGGCGACTTCAGCGTCCCCGAGTGCAACCTCTGCCCTGCTGGCTACTTTGGGAACACGAGCGGCCTCGCCAACTCCTCCTGCGATGGTGCGTGTAAGCGAGGCCACTTTTGTCCCAAGGGCACAGCGGAACCGCTCCCGTGTGCGCCTGGTTTCTACATGCCCGTGATTGGCGCAGCCAGTGCCGAGTCGTGCCTCCCTTGCTCTCCGGGGACGAGCCAGTCCACAGCCGGCGCGGTCCACCCCTGCGACGAGTGCCCTCCCGGCACGTTCGCCGATCAGCTCAACGCCACCGGCTGCACCGACTGCCCCGCGGGACGCTTCTGCCCGAATGCAGGCACCATCCAGCCCCTCGACTGTGCCGCAGGGCAGTACCAGAACCTCACCGGCCAGGCTGCGTGCATGCAGTGCCCTGCTGGCGAGTTCCAGGCGGAGCGCGGACAGACGGCATGCGACACGTGTGAAGCGGGTGGATACTGCAAGGCTACAGATGACTGCGGTGGCGGCTTCACACCCTGCCCTGCGGGGAGCTACAACGAGAAGACGGGCAGCAGCTCACCAGATGCCTGTCAGAAGTGCCCCCCCGGTACCTCTAGCCCGATCACCGGCGCAAACAGCAGCGAGACCTGCGCGAGCTGCCGTGCTGGGACGTTTGGCGGCGAGCCCGGGCTGAGTGAGTGCACGGACTGCCCTGCGGGCCGTTACCAGAACGACACGGGCGCGACGTCCTGCCGCGACTGCGAGCAGGGCAGCTACTGCGCCAAGGGCGCGTCGGCGCCACTGCCTTGCGACGCGGGTACCTACTCGGACAAGACGGACCTCACCGCCGCCTCGCAGTGCGTCGACGCCTCGCCGGGCCACTTTGCCACCACCGGCTCCACAGAGCAGACGCCGTGTCGCGAGGGTAGCTTCGCCGCCAAGGCGCGCAGCGAGGCCTGCGAGCTGTGCGGCCAGGGCTACTACCAGAGCGAGCCCGCCGCCGCTGCCTGCGTCCGCTGCGCTCCCGGCAAGTTTTGCCCGGTGGGCTCGTCGCGCGAGCTTGACGCGCAGTGCTCGCCTGGCACGTACGCCAGGCTGACCGACCGGAGCGGCGACCCCGAGTGCCTCACCTGCCCCGCCGGCTCGTCGTGCGGCGGCGGGGCGGCGCCGCCCTCCGAGTGCTCGCCGGGCTCTTTCGCCGCCACGGCCGGCCTCTCCAAGTGCGCCAGCTGTGCGGGCGGGACGTACCAGGGCGAGTCGAACGCGACGAGCTGCCTTCCGTGCGTGGAGGGCAGCTACTGCGCCGAGGGCGCGTCGGCGCCGCTGCCGTGCGTTGCGGGCAGCTATTCGACCGCCACCAACCTCACCGCCGCGGGCGAGTGCACCGACGCCTCGCCGGGTCACTTCGCCACCACCGGCTCGACGCAGCAGACGGCGTGCGTCAAGGGGTCGTACACGAACGAGACCAGGCAGGGCGAGTGCACGGCCTGTTCCGGCGGCACGTACCAGGACGCGGAGGCGCAGACGGCGTGCAAGCCGTGCGAGGCGGGCGGCTACTGCACCAAGGGCGCGGCGGCGGCGCTACCGTGCGAGGCTGGCAGCTACTCGCGCGCCACCAACCTCACCGCCGCGGGCGAGTGCACCGACGCCTCGCCGGGCCACTTCGCCACCACCGGCTCCACCGAGCAGACGCCGTGCTCGCCGGGCACCTTCACCGCGCTCGCCGGACAGAGCATTGCGAGAGGTGCCCTCGCGGCAC